AACTACAGGAAGGATGGCTGAGTGTAAATTCTACAACTAGAAGGGAAGAAAAGCACACTGAGAGCCAGAGGAGCTGCGGAAGTAAAGTGCAGAGGTAGGGGGCTCGCGCGCGGAAAAGGGCTGGCACCTGAGGACGCGGCTGTCTTTTTGAATCCGGAGGGAGTCACAAGCTCCCGACGGCTCTGAACTCCGGTTCCGGGAAGTCTCTGGGGACCCAGGACTCATACGGGGAGAAACTGGACTGTTTAACTTGAGGGCGGCTTTCCCTCAGAGGTGCTTGCAGCCGTTACCGGGACACTGAGACTCGGGACTCCTTAGGGCAGGGCTGAGGCTCCGCCATAGCTGCTTGCTCCGCCCTTTGATTCCTTGAGCCCCCGCCCCACCCAGGCTGCGGCAGAGGCTTTTGCATATGAATGCCCCGGCCCTTTGTAACCTGTAATTACCTAACTGCAGCCTGGCCAGACAGACCCAGAACTTCCCAAGGCCCCACAGCGGCTTGCATTGCTTCACAGCTGAGCCTCATCAGGGTCAAAAAAAGGAAGGGGAAACTGCAGTTCTCTTCGTAGTTCCTGCTGTGTAACCTCAGGCAGAGGCTAAATTAGCACCTCCTTAGATCCAAGAGCCACTGTACCCAGTGGTCAGAGGGGGACCATGCAGATCACAACTCCTCAGATCCATAAGGGACACACTCAGGGTGCAGTCTCAGTGAGCACCAAAGCCCCACTGAAGCAAGTCTTGCCCCAGAAGGGTGTCTCCAGCACAGAAGTTCTCCCACTGCAGACACAGCTGATTCTCACTGCCAATTGGCCGGGAGGTCAATTCCTCCCAGTGATCCTACAACAACCAAGGTATAGCTTACCTCAGGTAACTGGGGAGGCTGAGCCACTGGGCCTTACAGGACACCTAGCACACAAAGCCACTCTATCAACACAGGGACAAAGAAACAGGTCACAAATGGCAGAAATGGAAGAAAGCAAATGACTGGATATAGAGTTCAAAGCCACGTTTATAAGGTTTTTCAAGAATTTTATGGAAACTGCCGATAAATTTAATGAGTCCCTCAATAAGTATAGTGAGACCCTGGAGGACATGAAAAAGGATCAACTAGAAATTAAGCATACACTGACTGAAATAAAGAATAATTTACAGAGATCCAACAGCAGACAAGAGGATCCCAAGAATCAAGTCAAAGATTTGAAATACAAAGAAACAAAAAATACCCAACTGAAAAAGAAAAAAGAAAAGAGATTCCAAAAATATGAAGATAGTGTAAGGAGCCTCTGGGACAACTTCAAGCGTACCAACATCAGAATTATAGGGGTACCAGAAGAAGAGAGAGGGCAAGATATTGAAAACCTATTTGAAGAAATAATGACAGAAAATTTCCCCTACCTGGTGAAAGAAATAGACTTACAAGTCCAGGAAGTGCAGAGAACCCCAAACAAAAGGAATCCAGAGAGGACCACACCAAGACACATCATAATTAAAATGCCAAGAGCAAAAGACAAAGAGAGAATCTTAAAAGCAGCAAGAGAAAGACAGTCAGTTACCTACAAGGGAGTACCCATACGACTGTCAGCTGATTTCTCAACAGAAACCATGCAGGCCAGAAGAGAGTGGCAAGAAATATTCAAAGTGATGAATAGCATGAACCTGCAACCAAGATTACTTTATCCAGCAAAGCTATCATTCAGAATAGAAGGTCAGAGAAAGAGCTTCACGGATAAGAAAAAGCTAAAGGAGTTCATCACCACCAAACCAGCATTATATGAAATGCTGAAAGGTATTCTTTAAGAAGAGGAAGAAGAAAAAGGAACTCTTACCATTTGCCACAGCATGGATGGAACTGGAGAGCGGATAAATACCACATGATCTCACTCATTTGTGGAATATAATGAACATAAACTGATGAACAAGGACAGATCCAGAGAAGGAGAGGCATTGATTGGACTGTCGGGCTTTGGGGGGAGGGTAGGGGAGGGTGGGGGTAAGGGGGAAAGATCAACCAAAGGACTTACATGCAGGCATATAGGCCTAACCAATGGACACGGACAACGGGAGGGGGGGGAAGGGGGGAGTGAGGGCATGAGCGGGGGGAGGGGGGGTAGAGGGTAACGCGGGGACAAGGACACATATGTAATATCTTAATAAAAAATATATTTAAAAAAATTTATAAAAATAAATAAATAAGTCTGCACGGAGACTTTGGGATTTAGGCTATTTAAAGGTTGAGATTTCACTAAGACTTCGGGGACACACATTTACATCTAACAGTGTATCTCTTCCCCCTTTACAGACAAGAGAGCAAGAGGCTTACAGAGGTGGGGGGCAGCATGCAGGTGGCAGAGCCAGGATAAAAGCTAGCCTGTTTGACCTTCATAGTAACACAATAACAGCTAGCGTTTAAATAGCACTTTTATGTATTACATGGCATCATTTAGGTGCTTTATACACATGAACATAATTCTCTCACCAACCCAGTGAGGAAGGTGCTATGAACACTCCTGCTCTAAAAACGGGGAACTGAGGAACAGAGAGGTATAGCAACATGCCCAATGCCACAGAGCTCCTCCGTGACAGCTCTGGAGTTTGAGCCAGCACCAGAATCCACAGCTCTGATCTCTTTGCTATGCCTCCTCTTTGTTACAGAAAGCCACACCATTTTCCATCAGCCACTCCTTGCGTGTAAAAATGAAAGTACAAACACGGAATTCTGAGAGAGTCCAAGGAAAGGAAGTTCTTCCTACCTCAGACACTCAGCCCAGGGCCAAGAGGGACCACTCCCAGCCGAGGATTGCCTAAACGACTCCTCTGGGCTCCAGGGTCCCTGGCAGGCAGCTCTAGCCTCCACCCAGCTCTGAAATCATGGACAGGCAGTGCTGGGCCACCTCCCACCTTGTAAGGATTCTTTGTCACTTGAAAATGGACAGTACAGACTTCCCTACAGACCCTTCCTCCACCAAGAAAATACGTCTTGAGTCAGCCAGTAGGATTAGGCAGCTTTGTGCTCATGTGTGAAGGTCTAGCAAGCCTTGAGGATTTACATGGGGTCGTTAGGGATTTACATGGGGTCATTAGGGATTCCTGTGAGGGATCAGCCACTCAGCAGTATGCCTCCTGCAGGACACCTATTAGAGAGAAAGAAGAGCGCCTGCAGGAGCATCAGAGACCCTGCTGCCTGGCATCTCTCTAGGCTTCACCTTTGCTGCTGACCGCCACAAGCAGGAGAGACCTAAGGTCCCATCTGCACGATAAGACCCATGTTCAAATCCTAACTCTGCCAGGGACCAGCTGGGCAACCTCAGGCAAGTTACTTAACTTCTCTGAGCCTCACAGAGTATCTCTGTTCAATGAGGCTAATAATAATAGTGCCTACCTTGCAAGGCTGCGGTGAGAATGAACTGGGATGCAATGAGACTCTGATCATTCCATCCACTCTCCCTATCCCAGTCTCTGCTGGTTCCCGGTTGCCTCTAAGATAAAAGCCAAGACTGGGGCATTCAAACCCCTCCCTATCAGACCCCCAACTCTCCTCTCCTTCATGCTCCGGAGATGCACTCCATCTCTGCCCCAGTCACAGGGGCCTACCCTTCATCGCAGAAAGATTCCCAAGCACATTCCCGCCAGGGGACAAGGCCCGCACAGGAGGACTTTGCGCTGCCTCCTGAAGTCCGGCTGGGGTGTGAGGTGGGAGCGCTCTGCCAGAGGACAGCGACCCTACCTGGTGCATCTGTGCACTGCCAGCTCCCAGACAGCAGGCACCTCAGAGTCTCCGGGATCCCGGTGGGGTCGTCTTCTTGGGGACGAGGGGGCTAATCACCTAGAAAGAGAAGGCGGCTTCTGTGAGGATAAGCTGCGCTCCAGCTCCTGCTCCTGCCTTCCTTGGCTCCCTCCGGAAAAATGGAGAGCACCTGCCAGAATTTAGTGCCCGCTCACCCTTTCCCTAAGGACCCGCAGCCCCCATGCGCTCCTACCGCGAGAATCCACTCCCTGGCAGCGATGGCCTCTTATTTTTCCAAAGGGTCCTTCTGGCTTTCTGGCCGCTCCCCACCCACACCCCGGCCCCTGGCGATGCTGAACCTGGGGCTCGCCTGCGTGCGGTGAAGTTATGTCAGGCGACTGGGGCTCAAAACCCTTGCTCTCTCCTGACTCGCTGGTGCTCCTGGGCACAACTTTCCCTCTCGGGACCTCAGTTTCCTCCTCTGTGAAATGGGTAGGATAATACCCGGCCACAAGCAGAAGGGACCTAAGGTCCCATCAAACGACAGGAAGAATGGAACGAGATCCCGGATGTCCACCTGGCACAGACAACGCACTCAACGGATGGGCTGGGACTGCGATTCGCATCCCATTCGGAGCCAGCCGAGCCAGGGCGGCTCTAGGGGAGCTGGGGACTTCCTTCTCCGCACCGGAGCCCGGAGGCAGGGGCGCGCGGCGCGCACCCGGACCCACCGGGGGAAGCCACAGGTGTCCGCGCGTCGGGGCGCTGGGGCCAAAACTGAGTACCCGGGAGGGTGCCATGGAGCGAGGCGCGCTACGGAACCCTCCCCAAGCCACCCGCGTCCCCAGGTCCCCCAGGCGCGCCCAGCCCACGCCGGCGGGCTCTCGGTTCTCCGCCAGGCTCCTCGGGGATGCCCAGACCCCAGCCTGACCAGCGCGCAGCCCGGCTACACCGCCCCGGCCCCGCTCCCGCTCCCGCCCCGGCCCGCGCCCTGGCCGCGCCCGGCTCCTACTCACTGGCGCCGGCTCCGGGGAAAGTTTGGAGATGCGGCGGCCGCGGCGGCCTGGCTGCTCGGTGCTCCTTGGCCGCGGCGAGACGGTGGCCGGACCGCTGAGGGAGCCGACTGGAGAGGTGGGGCTCCCGGGGAGGAGCCGCGCGGGAGGGGGCAGCGGAGGGAGGGAGGGAGCGAGGCGGAGACCCGCGCCCGCCAGCCTGCAGCGCCTCCGCCTCTGCTCGGCGCTCCCAGGGCCGCCCCGCGCCGGGAGGGGGCGCCAGGCGGGCGCCCCGGCTCGGACAGCACGACCCGCCGTCCGCCCACGGGTCGGAGCTGCTCCCGCTGAGCGCCCCAGCCTCCGGCTCTGCGCGGTGGGGCGGCTTTTTCGGTTTGCAGAGAGAGGTGAAATAAGAGGCAGAACCTCGGTGAGAACTGAGGGCAGACAGACAGAAATAGAGGTATGTCCAGATAAAGAAGCAGGGCTAGAAATGGAGAGGAGACGATGCTGGGCAAAGCCCGCCATGGACTGACTGATAGACAAACACTTAGAGTGACACCCCATCCCCCCTTACCCCTGCTAGAGAGGCCCAAATAGAAAAAGACTGACAGCCAAAGCCAGGCAGACAGAGTAAGAATAACTTCGGCAGGTGGGGACCTACCCCTAGAAGTTTCAAGGGGAACTGGAGACCCCCTCACCCGCTGCCCTCCACCAGGGTCTAGAAAGCCGCACCTCTTATCTGTTTTCCCCTAGCTTCTCCAGAGGAGCTGAAGTTTCAGTTCGCATCCCTGTGAGCAGCAAGGGGGGCGGTGGGGGTTGCCAGGGGGAGGGGGAGGGGGATGAAGTTCTGCAGATCCCACAAGCCTCCCTGCCCTCTGACTCCGGGAGCCTGAGAGTTCATACCCACCGCCTTCATTTCCAAGCTGGGGGGAGAGGCAGTTTTCTTTCACTCTTCCTTACCAGGAAAATCCCATTTGAACACCTTAAACAGTTATTTAGATCTAATCTAGACACTTCAAAAGAGACGCCCAAGTTCAGAGGGAGAGGAGAGCATTTGAGAAGGAGGAACTGGGGTGGGAGTGGGGGTGCTAGGGTGTGGAATTGGGGCCTCCTGGGGGTATTTTAGCCTCTTCTGAGTAGAGGACAGTTCCACTCAGTGGCTCACATGGAGCTAGTTGGAGACCCAGCTTCACAAGCTGAGTTTGGTGCATGGGTCATCCCTCTCTCTGGCCACAGGGTCCATTTCTATCAAATGAGGTTTAATAAAAACAGCTGTCATCGTGCCATGCATTCTTCTCAGGGCTACAGATGCTTACTTATTTAATTTGTACAACAGCCAGAATAAGTAGGGACGATTGGTATCCCTGTTTTACAGAGGAGGAAACTGGGGTACAGAGAGGTTACGTAACTTGGTCAAGGTCACACGGCTAGTATGGAGGGGAACTGGGAATCCACCCTATGCAGGCTGGCTACAAGGTCATCATTACGGTGCTCTAACCTTTATGACAATGGGGCCCCTGGACAGTTCCTGAAATCATTTATGTAAGGGACTTAGTAAGTGCCCCATTATTGGTAGCTCATCGACCACTATGCCTGTTTGAAAGATGGGGATTAAAGGGCTGATAGTGAAGCCCAGAGATAGGAGACTTTGGGTTGGAGGTAGCTGACAGGCACGTTACTGTCCTGGGTACCAGCTCTGAATCAGCCCCCTGCACCAGCCTACCCCAGGACTCTCTGAATCCACAGTAAGCCCCTCCCATTCCCTGGTGATTCTCCAGGGCCTCCATACCAATACACCTTTGGAACTGAGTTAACTCTGAGGTAATAACTAGTATAAACTCGAAGGGAAATGCATTTCTGCTCTCTACAGCTGTGGGGATGACAGAACCAAACGGGGGGTATGTGTGTGTGGGGGGGGGGGGGGGGTTGGTCAGGAACCTTGGTACCTTGGAAATGGCAGTGTTTACTTCCATCCCCTCTCTCTCCTTTCTGCAAGTCAGCAAAGGCTTGATTATTTGGAATTCCTCTCCAAAGTTTCACTTCCCAGGCTGGTTTTAGGCCTGCTAAGCTCACAGTGATCAGCATTTTTAGAAATGTCAGCCTTTTAGGAACAGCATGTCAGACACTATTCGAAGCCCCTGGTGACCAGGGTATGTATGCTTTGTTGTGGCATCTGGAACTGATATAGAATGAGATAACTTGGGCCATATCCTGGGTGTGTGGGTTGGAGAGGGGATAGCCAATTTACTAACAATATAGGCAGCAGATGAAAAATAACAGCTAGCCCTTATGTCATACTTACCATGTGCCCATCTGTGTTCTAAGAGTGTCACATGATCTAATGCATGTACTCCTCACAACAATCCATGAGGTAGATACTATTATCAACCCATTTTTCAGATGAGAAAACTGAGGCACAAACTGATGAAGAGACTTGTTCAGAGTATATAGTTAATAAGTCATTCCAAGATCAGACAGTTAGGAAGAAGCTGAACCAGGTCTGGACCCTGAATCAGTCTGCCTCCACAGACCTGTTCCTACTTCTGTGCTTTGTGGAAGAAAGCTAGAAAAGGGGTACCACATGAGCTCCTGAATAGAGATTAGAGGTACAGATTAAAAAGAGGTAGATTAAAAATATCTGCTCTGCCACTTGTTAGCTCTATGCTTACTTTGCTTCTCAGAGGCTCAATTTCTTCACTTGTAAAATGAGAATAATAATGTCTGTGTCATATCCAGGGTTTCAGTGATAATTCTTTTGGTTGCAGTTAACATAAACCCAGTTATAACCAGTTTCAGCCAAAAAGGATTCTGAATTGAAAAATTTAGGAAGTAGTTTGGGGTTCAGACATTGTCCATGCCAGAAGCTCAAAGGAAGTTGTCATGAATCTGTTTTTCTCTTTACTGTTTTCCTTTGTGTCAGTTTTATTAGCAGGATGGGTCTTTCCACAGGAAGGCAGAAATGGCCAATTAAGCAACCTCAAGACAAAGACATCACTTCCTTCCCAATACTTCCAGCAAAAAATCTCAGGGTTGACTCCCATTGGCTTGGCTTGGGTCACATGTTCAGCTCTGAATCCATCACAGTTGCTCTGATTGGCCAAGCCCGAGTCACATGCCTATGATTAGAGTTGATCTGTCCTAAGTCACAAGAGCTAGGAGTTGGTGAAAGGTTGTTCCCTAAAACAAAGTCAGGCTGCTTTAGCAGAATAATGGGGCATTGGTGCTGGAGAGGTACAGATATCCAATTCCTCATGGAGCCATTGCTAGTATTAAATACATTTGTATGTGCAAAGTGCTCAACTCTGATAGCCCCTGAGACCCTTCCTTCTTCCCTCTCCCATAGGAAATAGGATTAATGGCTCACCAAATCCAAGCCAACTGCTTCCTTGTTCATATGGGGAAACTAAGTTCCAGAGAGGGGAAGGGACTTGCGACAGAACCCAGCTGATCAGCTATAGAACCCATGTCTCCTGACTGGAAACAAATCCCAGTGAAAGTGTTAGCTGAGACATTTTAGATCTCCCACTAACCATCGGAATTTTCTTTGCATGTCGTACAGGGGAAACTGGAAAAACACAAAGCACTTAAGACCCGCAGGAAGTAAATGCCACTGTGATGGGCTCCCAGACTGTGCAACAAGCTCTGGACTGGTAGATCTGGGCAGGCTGCCCAATCCAGCTCCCCATCCATCACATTATGAATTCAGCCATTTCCTCTGGGGACTCTGAACTCTGGGTGCTAAGATCCAAGTGGTCATTTTTCATGTAGTTGCCCAAAGTAGGCAATATGGCCCTCCCTTTGTTTTATTTCCTGCTCAGTTTGTGAGAACAGATGTGTATCCTTCAGGGCCAAAGTGGGCCAAGTAGCAAGATGTTTTATAGAATTATTAAAATTGACCCTTTCAACTTGGCTCTGAATCAGTTCCAAAGTTTCTGGCCTAGGGCACTTAGTCTGACTTCTCTAAATTTAGTTAGTCTGGCATGTTGTAAAGCCTATCTGTGTAAAGTGAGCAAGAATAGCAGATGTCAAGCTGGAATGACAAAACCTACTCCTTCCATCCCTCCTACGTAAAGCACATGGATTTGGTGTGTACGCTGCTGGAGGAAGTGTAAATTGAGACAGCCTTCCTGGAAAGCAATTGGGAACCAGATCCCTAGAATTTTTAAAAGGTTTAGTCTATTGTTCCATACTCTGAGAGTTTTTCTTGAGAAAATAATCATATCAAGATATACATAAAGATGTTCATTACAGGATTGTGTATAATAATGAACAATTGAAAATACCCTAATGTCTAACTATAAGGAGTTGGCTAAATAAATTATGGTACATCAATAGAATGAACAATTATATAGCTGTTAAAATCATACTAGAGAATATGGACTTATGTAAAAACTAGTTATGATACAAACAAGTTAAAAAGGCAAGTCATAAAAGACCAAGTATGCATTTTGTGAAAATATATACCTATTTGTGTATAAGAAAGCTTAAAGTAGTTGTATCCAGGATAAGTGGGAAGGAGAGGAAAATTTGTGGATGCTTTTGGTTTTCACATATCTGTATTTTCTAACATTTCCTTAGTAAATTTGTATTACTTTGATCATTAGGAAAAATGCCCAGTAATTGTTATAAACAGATTTATGTTTGGTTTCCTTTTAGAAAAGCACTTTTATTTATTAAAAGATCACAATCAGAAGTGAAAGGAATTTGACATATCCCCCCCCCCCCCCCCCGCCCGCCCCACGGTATGGAGAATAATGGGGAGTTTGAGGCCAGTAGTAGCAGCAGCAGAGCAGTGCAGTGCAAGAGGGTTGCACCAGAAGGCTGTATGAGTCTGCTGTGTGGCTCCCAGAAAGTCCTCAGCAACCCTGGGCCTCAGTTACCACATCCATAAAATGAAGTGTTTGGTTACATTGTCTCTGGAGTTCTTTCCAAGGCCAAAACTCTATGTATGGAAAAGGTCTTTGAGCTTTAGTGAATATTCACATATGCTCCAGGAGAACATGTAATGGCCCTGAATGTGTTCAGCGCAAATTTATTTTTTGTTTCTCCAGCCCTATAAGATTGCTGAAAGTCATGCTTAGCTGCTCTGTTCCTTAGCATCTCCTTTCCTCTCAGCCTCTCAGTCTCTCCATCTGGTTCCATCTAGCTAGGAACTTGTTGGGGAACGCACCTAGAATGCTGGGCCCACCTCCACGTGTTTCTTTTCACTCTGGGAACTTGATCCTTCAAGTTGTGGCTTCCTGGGTAGTTCTTTGATGCCTTCCAACAGATTTTTATTTTCTTTCTAATGATTTTATCCAGGTTTTCTAGTTGTTCATTGAGAGGTTGTTCTCTACAAGCTAATATGTTATAGGCAGAAGTCCCTCCATATGTCATTATGTAAAAGTGGTTGGCTATAAAATGTATGTACAGTGGGATTCTATTTATATGTAAAACATGTATATGTTTTTATGTGGAAGAAATAGAGAAAGACTGAAAGCTACACACAGCACCTAACACTGGCCAGGTTTTCATTTTTAAAAATATTTGGCTATATTTTTCAAACTTTATACAATGGATTCTGAGAATGTTCAAATTGGAATTAACTTTTGAGGTCATTTATACCCATTTTTTAAATGGGGAAACTAAGGTCAAGAACATTTTAATTTATTTAAAATTTTAAATGTTTATTGATTTTAGAGAGAAAGGGGGAGGGAGGGAAAGAAAGAGAAACATCGACATGAGGGAAAAACATCTATCGGTGGCTTCCCATATGTGCCCTACCGGGATCGAACCCACAATCTAGGTATGTACCCTGCCCAGGAATTTAACCCGAGACCCTTTGGTGCACAGGTAGATGCTCCAATCAACTGAGCCACACTAACCAGGGTATAACTCATTTTAATTAAACAATTATTGATGGCTTACTGTGGGCAGAAAACCATGCTCCGGGCCCCAGAGCATCCAAAGAAATGTAACCCCTAGTCACTTATTCCTCCATCTCAAATGTATCCAATGTGTGCTAGACTTTGGGGTAGAAGATGAAGCTGCCAAGAATCTGCCCTTAAAATATCTTAGCTGGGGACAAAAATATCCAAATAAACTACCCCAGATATAATGCAACAAATGCTAAAGTCATGATGGGGCAGGGACTGTGGTTTGTCCCTTGTAATGATTCTCCCAATATCCAACTAAAAGATTCTATTTCCCAGCCTCCCTTGCAACGAGGTGAGTTTATGTGACTAAGTTTTGGCCAATGAGATGTAAGGGGAAATGTGGGGATTTCTGGGAAGTCTCTTAAAAGGGAACAAGCAAAGTCTTCCTCTTTTTCTGCTGCTTGGAATGTAGATGCAATGGCTGGAGCTTCAGTAGCCACTTTGACCTGTAATGTCATCAAAATGATGGAGCAGATAAAACCTCAAGTAAGTTGTTTTTGCTATTTCTCTGTGGGTGGTGTCTCAGTTTTAGGGGGTCTTGTGGGGAGCATCTGGGTTGCATCATCACATATCCACACTGGCATCTGTGACATCTTTGTTCCTATCTGAGGAGGAGTGACCCACCCACACAGGTCACTTTCTAAATTGTCCCCTGCTCCTAAATCTCATTCCACCTCTCAGCTGCTCCCAGGCCCTCCCCAAGTTCCCAGAAAACACTGCTCAGCTCCCATGGCCCTGGGACATAGAAGACTCTGTTAGATGTCTGAGGTTCTTCTGCCCAGCCACACATTTCTCCTCTAGAGAGAAATGTCTAGGAGAGGTCTGCCTAGGAGTCCACCTAGAAGAGCACAGGTCCTTTCTACCTTTTATTTTCCTGAGTTTATCTGGGGATTCTGGAGCCTCTATTCAAGCTCAGGGCCATGCCAGAGATGGGTCAGGTTCAAGTGTCCCTTCCCTCAGAGATTTGCATCATTCACCTCCCCCTTGCTTCTGCTCCAGCCCCCTCCCTCGCCGTCCTCTGGAAACTCTTGTCTAGTTTCAGGAAGGTGAAGCCTTCCTCCTAAAGCCTTTGCATTTTCCCGTATCAGTCGTGTCATCAATACACACGAATCTTTTCCCATTGCCCCTGAGACCCTAGACGTTTGAAATTCAAAAGCCAGGAAAAGATCCTGGTTTCTCTTTTTCTGAAAGGATAGTAGCTTTGAGACAATAGCCTCAGATGGGGGTGAAGGGCGGCAAAATATAAGGCTTCTGGGTGACAGAAATTAGCAAGAGCTCCTTCCATGCCCCCACCGGAATGGCTGAAATTAAGACTGACAACATCAATATATGTGTCTTATTACTCATCAATAGGCAACTAATACACACCTTCATTTTCATCACCAGCATTTATTGAGAGCTTACCATATGGTTTTTTCATTTAACCCCCCTCCCCAATGCTATGAAATAGGGATATTCTCCCCTTTTTATAGATAAGAAAACTGAAGTTTAGAGCAATGAAGCCTCTCTCTGCAGAACCTTTGAATTTAAGGACTTTATGGTCAGGTTTAGGAATCAGATTTTCAAGTATCCATGACTCAAGGCAAGCTATGGTTCTAGGATCCCAGGAGGGAGAGAGGCAGTTTGGATTCTGGCTTCTAGTAATTGGGCCTCACTGGTTGAGAGAACAAAAGCAGCAGACACACCCTCTGCCCTTGAGCACCTGCCTAGGGGAGGTCAGATGCTTATGACCACTGTGTGGTATTTCCCTCTGGAGAAAACACAAGTCCATGCAGGGATGATGAGAAATAACCCCTCATAAGGGTCTGGCACTTTGTACTTACAAAGATCTATACATCCATCTTTTCGTGGAATCCCACCTGGCAGAGAAGCATGGTGTTATGGACTGAATGTCTATGTCCTCCCCTCCGCCCCAGCTTCAGTATGATGGTATTTGCTAGTTCATTAGGGTTAAAGAGGTCGTGAGGGTGGGGCCTCATGATGGGGTTAGAGAGGAGGCAGTGTGAGGACTTGGCAAGAAGGCTGCTGTTGGCCAGCCCTGAAGAGCTCTCAGCAGAACCCAACTGTGCTGGCACCCCGATCTCAGACTTCCTGCCTCCAGAACTGTGAGAACATAAATAAATGCACAATCCGTGGTATTCTGTGGCAGCCTGAGTGACTGAGGCACACGGCAATGTTCATTTCACAGATGGGGACAGTGAGGCCCAGAGAAGTTACACGATTCTCACAGACACACAGGCTTTAAGTGGCAGAGCCTCGGTGAAAACCTGACAACTGGGTGTTTTCAAAAGTGCAATGGGTTGATGGGAAGTCAGTGGGGTTCCTCTAAGGGAGCTTCTTGGAAGAGGGGAGCAGGGAGCAGGTGGAGAGGGTGGGGCATGGGAGAGTCTGAGGGGGAGTGGTGAGTCCCCAGGAGGCTCCTGGGGATGTGCGAGGGTAAAACGGTTGTGTAGCTGCAGTGGAAGGAATGAGTGAGTCTGGGTGTGTAGAGGAGGCTTGGCTTAAGGATTTTGAGTGTGTGGTGGAATTGTAGCTGGGGGGCGTTCAGGCTGAAAGATCGTGGAGATGGGGCCAAAGTCAACCACCACGCCTAAAGTGGGAAGAAGGGCTTATTCTGCTTCTTGGGTGGTTTTGGTAGATTCACAATTCCGTGCAGCCTTCACCACTATCCATTTCCAGAACATTTCCATCACCCCCCACCCCCCGCCAAAAAAACAACAACAACTCCATATTTTCCAATTCCCCTCCTCTTCCATTGTTTGGCAACCTGTTTTTATGTCCATAGATTTTCCTATTCTGCACTTTCATATACTACTAAATGGAATCAACACTATAATGTCTAGTGTAACTGTCTTCTTTCATTGAGCATGTTTTCAAGCATCTTTCATTTAGCATCTATGTTGTAGGAGTTATATCACTCCTTCACTCCTTTTTTATGGCTGTATACTATTCCACTGTAAGGATATTCCACACTTTGTGTATTCATTTATTAGTTGATGGACACTTGGGTTGTTGCCTCTTTTGGGCTGCTATGAATAATGCTACGATGAATATTCTTGTATACATTTTCATGTTAACCTATTTGTTTTATTCTCTTGAATACATGCCTGGGAATTGCAGGGTCATATGGTAATTCTATGTTTAACTTTTTGAGGAGCCATTGAACTGCTTTCCAGAGCAGCTGCACCATTTTATATTCCTGTCAGCAATGTTTCAGGGTTCCAAAGTCTCCACGTTCTTGCCTACACTTGTTCGCTTTTCCCTTTTATAAAGTCATCTTCATGAGTGTGAAATGATATCTCACTGTGGTTTTGATTTGTATTTCCCTAATGACTAATGACGAGTATCTTTCAATGTGCTCCGAGGCCATTTGTATCTTCTTTGGAGAAGTAGCTATTCAGATCCTTTGCCAAATTTTTAATTGGGGTGTTTGCTTTTTAGTGTTGATTTGTAAGAATTCTTTATATATTCTAGCTACTAGATCTGTATCAGGTAAGCAGTTTGTAAATATTGCCTCCCATTCTCTGGGGTTGCCTTTTCCTAATTCTCACCAGGGCACCTTTGGGATAAGGAGGGACCTTAATTAACCCTGGTGCCAGGGCACTGGATACTCTTCCACCATGAAAACAGAAACTCTCTCAGAGGTCTCACCCAAGAGGACATGTTAGCACCTCCGTCCCCTCGCAGCGGGTCCACCAGGTGCCAGGTACTTGGAGCATAATTCTGAAGATAACACGGTCTCTTCCCTCCCGTGTCCCATCTCCATGAGCAATGCCTACCATCACCCGTCACCCGTCACCCAGACTGTCTGGTCAAAATCTCTCATCACCACCATCAGATCAGCCACCACAGCCCACCGCCTCTCCATTCTCTCCTCCCCACACCCAGCCTAGGCTGTGGTTATCTGAATGATTTCCTTAGCTTCCTAACTGTCTGCAGACCTCGTGGCTTGGTTCTTCCAGTCTAGTCTCCCCTCCATCTGCACGTGAGCAGAGGACTTTTCTTAAGTAAAAGCCCCGTTAAGGGGCTCCTCTAGCGAACATCTGAATAGCTACAGACTGCTCTCTCCACCCTCCCTCTTAAAGCGACTCAGCCAGACAGAACTTTCTCCCCATTTCCCAACTCACCCGCCTCTATACGGTGCAGAAATATTTACTCTGGACACAGTGAAGAGACGGCAGCGAAGATTTCCAAAACAGATTACAGGTTGAGCAGCAACTGGTCAGTTTAAGGCTGGGAGCTTGTGTGGGGAAGGGGGAAGGATGCAGGGCGGGGAGGGAACTTCACTCATGCATGTGTAGTGACACCCATTGGACACACTGTCCCACCCATCACTCATCCCTCATCCCAGTCACCTGAGAGTCTCCTGGGTGTGTCAGCCAAGCACTGGGAGGCAGTTCTGCGGGTCCCCTGGGATTCTGTCAAATCCCTCAAATCGAAGCAGGGTGAATGCTGTTGGAGAGCCTGTGGCCCAGCCCTTCATCCCTTTGCCTCCATAAACCCCATTCTTCCCACCTCAAAAATGGGAACAATGACACCACTAGGCTGTCATGGGCTCAAAGCCAATCTGTGCTTGGGAGCACATGTAGACTCGTGCGTTAACTTTTATCGCCCATGTGAGAGACCAAGACCCAAAGAGAAGAATCAGTAGTTTCTAACCTTGACTGTGTCTTAAGATCTCACCCGGGGAATTGGTTGAAAATAAGGATTTCTAGATCTCACTGTCATCTGGACTTTTTAACAGGTGATTCTCTTGGGAAGCAGGGGAGCAGCTGACACACAGAAAGTTGTGGGAGAGCCGGGGACCCCTCTCCTGAGGGGCTCTGGTTCCCTCCCCAGAAGCCCTACGTGTGCCTCTGGCAGGAGGGCCATTGTGTGCGCCTGCCTGCCCCCTCTCCCAGCCTGGCGCTCCTACTGCCAAGCTGCTGGAACACTTCTCACCTCTGGACTTGGCTGTTAAGGATGTTCTGAGAGAGAGGTTTCCTGGGGTGAAGTTCCTGTGAAGAGCTTTCTAACAACCCAGGAAGGGGAGGTTTGGGGGAGTGAGGGAGGAGTGGGGAGGGGACAGGCAGCTCCACCTCGGGGTGAATAGAACTGTAACCAAATGAGAAAGAGCCGAGTTTGTCCTGGGGCAGGGAGGGGTGGTAGGTGAGGGGGTGGCACAGGTGCTTCAGCTGTCACCTCCCTGTCTGTCTCAGGCTCCCGGCACCCTCCTGGCTTCCAGGCCACCCTTCCCATCAAAACTTCTTCTTGGTACAGGATCTGAAACTCATCTACACTGAAGTGTGCTTGCCTAATGCCACCAATCTCAAACTCGATCATACTTCCTTCTTACTTTTCTCCAGTCTCTCACACCCCCTCTCTCGTTCTACTCTCCCTCCCCATCTACAGTCTGCTTTCTAATGTTGCCCTGGTCTTGAGCTTTTAATCTGAGGTGGTTTTCCTCAGATCTTTGTCTTCACTCATTATTTATGCTTTCTACAGTCGCTTGGCACCACCACAACTCAGCCAACTCTGCCTCCGCCCCTACACAGCTGCAGCTGCAGAAAACGTGGCTGCAGAAAAGCTGATAACCAGCCAGACTCTGCTCACTTTAAAATTCATGACCTTGACTGTTACGAGAGCCTCAGTGCTGCCTGCCAATTAGGCTCTACCTTTCTACTCATCACACTCCAGCTCTGCCGAAGGATTGATTCCCCCTTCCACTCTCCCAGACCCTTAACGCCCCTTCCCTGTCCTCACTCTCCCTTCCACCAAGCACTGGCCCTCCCACCAGCATCTCCACCCACATACTCAGCCTCCCACCTGTTGCCAGGTGAGCTGACCATGCACTTGTGCACTGGACCGCATTCCCCTTCATCTGCGCAAGGACATCACTCCAGCCATCCTCCCTCTTTTTCCACAACATCATTTTTAACCTCTTCTGGATCTTCTCATCACCATAACAACATGCTGTGATCCCCGCCACCCCCCCTCCCCCGCCCCGTCTTTAACACAACAGGCCCTGGCTGGGTAGCTCAGTTGTTAGAGTATGGTCCCGATATACCAAAGTTGTGGATTCAATTCCCGATCAAGGCGCATACAAGAATCAACCAATGAATCTCTCTCTCTCTCTCTCTCTCTCTCTCTCTCTCTCTCTCTCTCTCTCTCTCATCAATCAATAAAAAGAGAAAAGAACAACAAAAATGTTCTTGATCCCTCTCCCCCTGTAGCTTTCACTTCATGTCTTCGTTTCTTATCATTGTTGCTGTGCAACAATCCACCTCAAAACTTCCTGGCTTTTAAATAGCAATCATTTTATTACCTCTCCAATTCAGTGGGTTGACAGGGCTCCCCTGGGTAGTTTTAGTGTGTCATGTGATATCAGTGGAGGCTGTAGCCTTCTGGGTAAGATGTCACAGGGTTGGAGGTTGGTGCTGGCTGTTGGCTGGAGCTTGGTTGGGCTGTTGAGCGAAGGGCTTCCAGTCTCTCTTCCACACGGCCTGCCTGTGTGGCTTGGGCTTCTTAACGCATGGTGGCTGGGTTCCCAAAGGGCAAAAGCTGCCGGGCTTCCTTATGGCTTAGGCCTGGGACTGGAACAGTGTGGTGAAAAGTGAACCCAGGAATAGCCCAGATCTAAGCGAAGGGACTACACAAGATCTCAAATACCAGGAGGCAAGGTGGTTAGGAGCCACCAAACAATAAACTTCCACACTCCCCTTTGCAGCAAAACTCCTGAAAAGAACTGTCTATCCTCAGTCTTTCCAATTTCTCCCACCCATTTTTCTTCAATTCATTCCAAGCAGACATTCACTCCCACTCCTCCACCGATGGCCCTTTTGTCAAGGTCACCAATGACCTCCTCATGGCAAAATCCATGGTCAGTTCTCAGGCCTTATCTTTTCTGTGGCTCCTTTCTTCACTTGATTCTGGGATCCCTAGGTCCTCTCCTAGTCATTCCCCTCCACTGGTTCTCTTCTCCCCCCAGCCTCTTGCTGTTGGGTGACCTGGGACTCAGTTCTTTTTTTAAAAATATATCTTATTGATTCCTTAAAGAGAGGAAGGGAGAGGGATAGAGAGTCAGAAACATGGATGAGAGAGAAACATCGATCAGCTGCCTCCTGCACACCCCCTACTGGGGATGTGCCCGCAACCAAGGCACACCCTTGACCGGAATCGAACCTGGGACCTTCCAGTCCACAGGCCGACGCTCCATCCACTGAGCCACACCGGTCAGGGCAAGGGGCTCAGTTCTTGATCCTCTTCTCTTCCCCATGGGTCTCACCCACTCTCATCACTCTAATGCCTTTTATATGTGACTCTACATTATAGCTCTAGCCTAGGCCCCTCCTTAATTTAGACTAATATTCGACTGCCTACTTGACATCGCCCCTGGGTATCCAGTGCATGTCCAAACGTCCTGTATCCAAAACTAAACTCCTGATTGCTGCCCTCCCAAAACTTTGATCTGATCCTTGCTTCCCTTATTTCGGTTGATGACAACTCCTTTCTTGTAGTTACTTAGGACAAAAACCCCAGCATCAAACTTGTCTCCTCTCTTTTGCTCATATCCCATATGCAAACTGCCATGAAATCCTGTTCCATGTACCTTCAGAATACGTCCAGACTGACCACCTCTCACCGTTTCAACTGCCACCCCCTGGTCTAAGCCACCATCCCCTCTTAGCTAGATGACTTCTCATTGTTCTTGTTCTTTTTTAAAAAAATATCTTTTTATATTGATTTCAGGGAGGAAGGAAGAGGGAGAGAGATACAGCCAAACACTTTTTCAATAAACATTCTTGAAGTATTGTGATAGGCTCCCGGGTCAAATTCAGACTCTGACCCCTGACGTGATTGTAATTAAATAAATGACTGTTCTAGGATGCTTGCATAAGGAACCCCCACCCCCACCCCCCAAAAACAAAAAACAGGGCCTCAAGTGGAGGACAACACCATAAGTGAGAGTTGGTGAGTTGGTGGAATGGAGCTGGGCTAGGAGAGGGACGGGGGCGGGTGGGTGTGGCGGGAGAGCTCTTCTGGGCACTTGCTTCCTCTGGCTCTGCTTCGTGCTGCCCCAGTGGAGAAATGGCAAGGAAACATCAATGAAAGTACAAGAGAACTGGCCAGAGATTGTACCCAGCACCAGGCACATAACTGGGACTTCTGAGTTTTACTTCCCTCCAGACCCCTGAGGCTCCATTTCCTGATCTGCAAAATGAGATGGTAGTGCTCACCTGATAGAATTAACTAAAGCCTGTGGGAAACTTCTTGTATTTGGGGTTCCTAACCCCAGCTGCACACTCTAACCCCCTGGGAAGCAGACACCCACACTCCCCCTCCAAACAATGAAGCCTGAATCTCGTAAGGTAGGGCCTGGGCATCAGCCTTTTAATTGTTCCGTGCTGGGGCCCAGGCACAATGTTGTTTTTAAAAGGCTTCCCGGGGACTCTAATATGCAGCCAGGCTTGTGTATCACTGGGGCTAGAGCAGCTTAATCAATGCCCTTTATCTATTTAATTGATCTTGAATATTGCAGCTGGAGAAAAGCCGATTTAATTAGAGGAGGCGAGACATCGGTGAAGATGCTGATGACAATGTCTGGACACTTTCAAGAGCTTCACAAGTTGTATGTTTCTTGTTATCCTACTCTTGTTTTTTATTTAGCTTATGATACAGGCAAAACTCATGTTCATAAGGCTAAGTTTTGGAGGGGGCATTAAAGGAGTAACAGTTGGAAAGAAACTCTCAAAGGGTGAGTGAGACCCAGAAGGAAAGATATGTGGGAGGAGAAAAGGGACTGAAAGATAGTTTCCTAAGCTAACTGGGAAAGGGTCAGTGGAGAAATGGCAAGGAAACATCTATGAAAGTACAAGAGAACTGGTCAGAGACTGTACTCCCCAACTGCCCACTGACTAAGGGAAGAGTGGGCTGGGCAGGGGCTCACCTCCTTCCGGGGGTGGGAGTTGTCTTGGTGGGAATAAGAGAATCAGACTCACGTTCCCACCTCATGGTCCTATCGTGATGGTCCTGGTCAGGTCCTCTGAGAAGCAGACTCCAACTCAGTAGACGTGCAAGGGGTTTATTGGGGGAGCTCCTTGTGAAATATAAAGGGTAGAGGGAGCAGAAGTAGACAGGAGATCCTCAGATCACAGTGCAGGTCTGACACCTGTGAAAGGAGAGACAGGAGGAAGAGGCTTGGGTGGAGGGAGCCTCAGACTGCGATGCAGGCTGGTGGGGAGCCCCAGAGAAAAGACTGGCTCTTGGAGAAGTCACCACTGGGAGGGAAGGCCCAGCTCTGGTACAACCCCACAACCACTTTTTGTCTGGGAGCAGCCTGGGACAGCAGCTGGAGGCTGTCAGTCTGCCCAAGAGGGAATCTGAAAGGAGCAGCTTCATGGCCACCATAGACTCTTACAAAATAATGGAAATATCCATTCATTCAACCACTATTTACTGAGCTTGCATTACACATAAAGCTCAGTAGATTTAACAGTTTTAGACATGTGGCTGCTGGAAGCCGATCCACCCTGGCTGCTTGACGCAGTCGCTGCAGGGATGTTTCAAGGGACCTGGCGTATATGGCACACTGTTCTTAATATGTTTGCTCCCCCTCTTAACCCTCTCCAAGAAAGGCTGTTTCCCCAGGTGAGGATTTTTATCAGTAAACCCTTTAACTAAGTGCCAGAGGGGTAGTTAATTACTTTAACTATAAACAATCACGCTTAAGCTACATAATCTTTACATAGAATAACCTCCTTCAGTTACTTCCTTGTAGCTTAATAGAACAATAGAGTAACCTTGGAATGGAGATAAGAAACACCCTAACCTTTGGAATAGAATGGATAGGATTAAGAGCAAATAGTATAAATACAAATGTAAGAGAACAATAAAGGAAGGAACCTGGCTAGGAGGAACCTGGCTAAGAGGAACCTGGCCATGATGATCACCTGAACGCTGACTCCGTCCACACTTATGGGGAACCCCTGGACCCGCTGGGGCTGGACCCCAGCATGTGGATATAACATGAACAAGACACATTTTCTAAACCTAGACCCTTTTGAGAGTGAACATTTGCTATTAATAATTATGCCTGGACAACTGGCATAAACTGGGACTATCCTGGGCAACCTGTGATTTATGGTGATCCTGAAATAGAGGAATATGATCTAGTCCAAGGAATCAAGAAAGCCATCCTGAGAAAGGGACATGGGAGCTGGGTTCTGAAGGATGTGTAGGAGTTGACCAGTTGCTCAGGCACCTACTATATGTTACTAGTGCCCTGGTGCACGGATTCATGCACATTGAAAGGAAATTAAGTAGAAGGTGGCTGGAGGGGTGGGACTGGGCAAGAGGGGCCAGACATGCCCTGGAGCCAACCTCCCGAGGTCCCTCCCTGGCCAGCTGCACCTAGGGCAGCACCAGGGCTCAAAGGGAATCTGTGTGGAGTGAGAGGGGTCTCTCCAGTAGGTGGGGGTCCCTCAGCCTGTCCTGTGGAGGTTGGGCTGAAACTGACTCTCCGACATCCCCCAGAGGGGTCCCAGATTGCGAGAGAGTGGTTCTCGGGTGACACAGCCTGGAATCAGGCTCCCTCCTCTCTGGTTCCCGGGTGCATCACCTGAGAACTGCCGCTGCCAAGTCACCACAGCTCAGCAGCTCCTGCATTAAGCGTCTACCCCTTGAAGGTCTGTGCATGTCATACCTACTAGCCAGTCAGACAGTCAGACTGTTGCTTAACCTTTTATATATATAGATTAGCCCCTCATAGCGCTGTCACTACAGGTGTTGATTGGTTATTTGATGATTGATTTCTCACAGTCTTAGGGACTTTCATATCAGGGATATCACTGTTGTCTGAAAGAGTCCTGCCTGGGGTTCTTTTGATGGCACTGAAATGGAAAGGAAGGGCACCTAGAAAGTCCATCATTTGCTTTCCCTCTGCCTTTTATTATGTCATTCTGGACAGAAAATAAGGGAATCTGCTGATATTTGTTTAATAACTTTTTTACCCTTTTTGAGACATCAGTGGACCTGCTTTCCCCAAATCTTTCTTTTTAAATCTTGTAACTATACATAACACAAAACTTAACATTTTAACCATTGTTAAGTGCACAGTTCAGTGGCTTTAAGTACATTCACATTGTTGTGTAACCATCACCTCCATCCATCTCCATAAGTCTTTTCATCTTCCCAAACTAAAACTCTGTACCCATTAAACACACACTCTTCTTCCCCCTCTCCCAGCCTCTGGCAACCACCATCCTACTTTCTGTCCTTAGGAATCTGACTGCTCAGGACCAAATATATATAAGTGGAATCATACAGCATTTGTCTTTTTGTGACTGGCTTACTTCACTTAGCATAATGTGTTCATTTATTCATGCTGCAGCATGTGTCAGAATTTCCTTTTTAAGACTGAATAATATTCCATTGCATGAATTTAGCACATTCTGTTTATCCATTCATCTGTCAATAAACATTACGGTTGTTTTCACCTTCTGGGCCATGTGCTAATTCTATGTTTCATTTTTTGAGGAATGGTCCTACCATTTAGCAAAGTGTCTACACCATTTCACATACCCACCAACAATGCACAAGAATTCCAATTTCTCCACATCTTTGTCAACATTTATTTTCTTCTCTAATCTTCTATAGGGACTTTCACTTTTTTATTTTGAGATAATTATAGATTCACTAGAGGCCCGTTGCAGGAACATTCCTGCAAGAATAGGGCTTCCTGCGGCTGGAGCAAAGCAGAGAAGGGAGCAAAACCCGCTGAGGCGAGCTTTGCTCCCACCCCCAGCCGCTGTGGCTGAGTTTGCCCAATCGGCCCGAGCCACTGTGGCTAGGTTTACCCAACCTGCCCCCAGCCACTGTGGCTGGGTGGGTTTTCCCAACCCATCCCCAGCCACTGCTGCTGCTGGGTTTTCCCAACCCGCCCCCAGGTGCTCCGGCTTGGTGGATTTGCCCAACTGGCCCCCAGCCACTATTGCTGGGTTTTCCCAACCTGCCCCCAGCCGTTCCAGCTTGGTGGGTTTGCCCAACCCGCCCCCAGCCGCTCCCCCTGGGTTTCCCCTCCCATTCCCAGCCGCTGTGGCTGGGTTTCCCCTCTTGCCTCCTGCCTCCTGCCTCCTGCCTCCTGCCTCCACAGCCTTGGCTCCTTTACTGTGTCCCCACGGCCTCTGGTAGCGCTTGGCTTCCATGTTGTCTTCAGTTTTCGCTCAGAGCCGGTATATGCAAATTAACCGCCATCTTTTAGCTTCTATAATTGAAACATTGTATCTTTTGGAGCTGTTGCTTCAGGAGCTTAGAGCCGGGCGGCAGGCAGGGAACCTTGGCTTCCTCCATCGCCAGGGCAACCAAGCCTCATGTTCGCTTCAGCTGCCTGGCTGCCGGCAGCCATCTTGGTTGGCAGTTAATTTGCATATCGCCCTGATTAGGGTAGTGAAGTTACGGTTAATTACCATGTTTGTCTATTATTAGATAGGATATGCAGTCATAAGAAACACTCTGGGAGGTCTCACATACTCTTCATCCATTCCCCCCACTGTTAACATCTTTCATAACTGTAGCACAATATCACAACCAAGATATTGACATTGCTTCAACCCACTGGCCATATTCAGATGTCACCAGTTTTACATGTGTGTTGTGTGTGTGTGTGTGTGTGTGTGTGTGTGTGTATTTTTTGCAAATTTTTCCCACATGTAGATTCATGTACCACCACCACAGCTGAGATACAAAACAGTTCCACCACAAGGATCCACATTTGGGATTTAGAAAAACATACTTTTATTTTAAAAAATTAAAATTACACAAAAATAGAGAGCACAGTGTAATAAACACCCATGTACCACCACTCAACTTCAACAACTCTTAATTTATGGCTAATTTTATTTCCTCGATAGCCTCAGCCATTCCCATGTTATTACGCAGTAAATATCAGCCTTATTACCATTTCATCTGCAAGTATGTAAACTCTAAGGACAAAGATGCTGCTTTTGGGCAGAACCGTCACACTATCATTATGCTCCCTGCCCCCAGCCAGTAGTAACCCCAAGGAGGCTTCACATGGAATCTGCATATATCATAGGTTCCCCTTTCCTACCAACAACAAACAAGCTACTTCTTAGAAGGGACCCACATTGGCCATAAACGAGCAGTTAAAGATAATAGACAAGAGTAACAAGTGCTTTTTCTCCCATATCCCACAACCAATCCATCAGGAAACCCCATCTCTCTACCTTCAAAATAGCATCAGGATCCAACCATATGTCACCACCTCACTCCTATCACTCTTGTTCCAGCCTTCAGCATCTCTTACCTAGGTGATGCATAGCTCCTCCCGGCTCTCCCTGTCGCCATCTCTGCCCCCTATGACCTGGTGTCTGCACTGAGCCAGAGAGAGCCTGTCAAAACAGCAGCCAGAGCATGCCCCTCCCCTGCTCAGCACCCGCCCATGATTCTTATCTGACAAGCCTAGACAATCAGCCTGCTGTTACCTTCTGATTTCACTGCTCCATGTTCAGTCTGCTACTGCTGTGGAGGCCAGATGATGTTGCATAAATGTTTCAGGCTCAGCCCCTGTGTGATGCCTTTGCCCATGCTCTTCCCTCTGCCTGGAACACTCTTCTCCAGATTTCCACTGACCTTATCTCCTCAGGTCTCTGCTCAAATGTCATGTGAGTACCTTCTGTTTGCATGCCTGGATCCCCCCAACACCTATTTCCACCCTGTCCCACAGGTGCTGACTGTAGAGACTAAATCAACAGACTGCTTCCACCGGGTTTAGCTGTGGAGGGCACCTTGATTGAGGTAGGAGGTCTGGTATTTACACCCCAGTTCCCTCCCCAGGTGACAGTGGCCTCTCCATACAGCCTCTCTCTCTGCCTTCTGTCATGTCACCTTCCCTGCAGGTCTCAGGGTGCTAGCAGCCCACTTTACTATCCCTGTAGTTTCCCTCCATCCTGCCTAAACTTCCTCTGCTGATTCTCCTCCAATGACCAGCCCCCCTTAAGGATCATAGGTGCCTAAGCATTCCGACTCCACTCCTCTTCCAGGAACTTGCTCTACACACTTGAGTACCCTCCACCCTTGACATACTGTCCAGCACGTAGCAGGTGCCTCGTATGGGGTGACTTTTTGGTTCTTGGCCAAGTCAGTCCTGACCCTGAGCGTTAGTATCCCAACAGGCCAGGTGGGGGATAATCTTGTTGTCTGAGTTAATCCTGTTGACTAGTTAGGAGCCTTTAGAATCCATCAGGCAGCATGCGAGGAACTGTCACATCCCTATTTCCCTGAATTCTTCTGACAGCTTTGAGAGGCAGGTGCAGCAAACTCCCTCTCCCTGCCCTGGTCCCATCGTTCACTCCTCTCTGAATGTTAAAGCTTGTCTGGCCAGCTCACTTGTTAGCTCCTGGTGGGGTGGCTTTCTGCTTCCTGGCTTCTTCCTCAGGGAACTGGGTTCAGAGGCCCTCTGTGGAAGCTCTTTGCTTGACTGAAAGTTTTTTGAGAAATAGGAGGGTCTTGGGAAAGAACAGCAATTAGAATGAATCCTTAGGTATTAATGCCACCCGCCAACAGGGTAGAGGCCAGACGGGCTTCTTTTGAGTCTGCTGGGCTGGGGTTAATTAGCTTTGGCTTTTTAGCTGTGGGGTGTCTGTTTAATCATCTGCTGCCTGGCCCCAGCTCAGCCTGGTGAGAGAAAGGCCTCTGGAAGCATGAGCTGAGGGGAGGCCAGTCTTGGAGAGGGAGAGACCCGCAGAGCTGAAACCATGCTTCGGCCACCAGACTGTCCACCTGCTCACCGCATTTGAGGAAACGGAGGCCTGCAGACTTTGGAATAACCCTCGGCATGCAGCAGAGCCAGGATTAGAGCTCGGGTTTCCTGTATGATGGTTTGGGGGCCTTCTCTGTTTGAGAATCCCTCCATTCATTCAACAAATACTTCCCTAGCGCCTCCTTGGGCTAAGACAATGGGACTTCATGGATGACTAAACCAGAGCGAGTCCCTCCCCTCCTGCTGCTCACACTGTAGAGGAGGCCACCCCCCATCAACACTCAAGCAAGCAAATACATTCATAATGGCAAATGGTGGAAAGGGCCACGAAGGAGACAAATATGAATGGAACTGCCATGAATCGCCTTATTCAGAGACATCTGGGAAGACCTCTCTGAGGAGCTGACTTAATTTCCCTCAGATAACAAAAAGGTTTTCTTTATGGCATGGCAGCTAATAAAGATGAAAAAATAGCATGAGTATAATTTTTCAACCTCATGGATTTAGTGGGTCCAGTCTTTGAGTATCAGTGGCTGCAAACATCACAAACAGGAAGAGCACATAACATTGCCCTGATGTGGCCAGAAAATTGTGCCTAAATCCGATCAAGTCCCTTGCCCAGCACTTTCCAGTGAAATGCAAGTTACACATGGTCCATATATAATTTTAAATTTTCTAGAAAACTCATTGAAAAAAATTAAAAAATAAATAGCAAGTGAAATTAATTTTAATAATGTATTTTATTTAACCCAATATATCTAAAATATTGAAAGGGCGAGGGCTATGCCCTCCATCTTACCCTAGCAGCCATGTGCTTGGCAGGGCTTCTTCCCAGAAGCCCAGGCCTCTGCTAGCCACGCCCAGGATTTCTTTGAACTAGCCAGTGACGGTCAAGGGAGGTGCGCGCCATGGATATGACCACATCCTGTGTGGCGGGACCCGACTTGTGCCTGGCCAATCGGCAGGGCCCATGGTCACCTCTCCTCCCCTTACTCCACCCCCCTATAAAACTCCTTCCCACTGGGCTAGCCCTCTCTCTGCCACTTGGCTTACTGTTGGGTCGGTGAGTGTGGTCGGGGAGCCGAACTAGTTCGAATAAAGACTCTCTGCGTTTGCATCGGACTCGGCTGGCTCCCTGGTGTGGTCTTTTGGGGATCCTGAAATCTGGGCATAACAATATTATCAGTTCAATACATAATCAATATAAAAAAAAAAACTATTTTCATTATTTTTTCATACTTGAACTCTGACACGTACAGCACATCTCCACTTGGATGGGTCCATTTCAAGTACTCCGGAGCCACATGTGGCTGTGGCTGGCGGCTACTGTCCCGGACAGCACAGCTCTAGACTAACTGCTATTTCCAGGAAATCCAGAGGACAGAGGAACACGCGAAACAACACTCCACTGACATAATCAGCAAAATCCAGAAACTCTGTTTTTCTGCAAAACTCTATAGAAAAATTAACCCAGCTTTTTTTTTTAAGAAATATATTGTATGGGGAAAATAGTGAAAAGGAAACCCATAAATGAATAGTCTTCAGAGACATCCAGTCACAATATGGGACCCTTGTTTGATTCTGGTTGAAATGATCTGTAAAACATTTTTCAGTGTTTATGAAATAATTGGAAATCTGAACACTGGATATTTGTTGCTATTAAAGAGCTATTTGTTCTAGGTGTGATAATGGTATTGGGTTATTTATTTATTTTTAAAGAGTCATTATCTTTTAGAGAGACATACTAAAATATTTATGACAGCATATTGAAATAATATGAAGTCTGGGGTTTGCTTCAGAATAACATGGGAGGGGGGAGAATCTTGGCAGTGAGAGTAAAATGAAACAAAGTTGGTAATGGGTGATGCTGGGTGATGAATACATGGGTTTTATTATACTACTTTGTCTACTTTTGCATGTGTTTGAAATTTTTCGTAAAAACTTTTTTTACATGGAATTGAGATGGTATTGAAAAGGGAAATGAAGAGGATAGTGGAAGCCATAAAACAACAGATTCCATGAGGGCAGAAATGGCCGCCTACTTCATCAGTATTTCCTAACATCTCACACAGTCATGACGCATGGTAGGTCCTTGTATAGTTTTTCCCTTTTCTTGCAGTTATCTTTGTGCCAGGGCTCTTACATCCCATCAGGGATGTACAGCCAAATTACTCTGTTTTTAAGAAATGATTCTTTGCTGTGTGGTTACACCACCATTTTTTTTTTTTTTTGAAGCTTGTTTAATTTTAGTTTTCACTTTTGTGATTAAAAAAACACCACTTTAATTTTGCTTCATAATTGTGTAAAATATTTTAATGTTTCAAGTCAAATCTACAAATGGGCTTAACTTAAATCCCTGACAATTTCCTTTTGAGGACTTAGCACCATGGGCTACAGTAAATGGGAGTGAAGTCAGAGACCCTCCTTTTTCAAAACAAAACAACAAAACATCTTTTTATTGATTTCAGAGAGACAAGGGAGAAGGAGCTATAAAAACATCTATGAGAGAGAAACATCGATCAGCTGCCTCTTGCATGTCCCCTACTAGGGATCCAGCCTACAACCCAGGCATGTGCCTGAGACACACAAGCCAGGCCTGACCAAGAATTGAACCAGCAACCTCCTGGTGCATGGGACGAGAGACAGGGGCTGAGTAGGGACCCTTCTTTTAGTGGAAGGGTTGACCCTTGACCCCTCAACTAGCCACTGGATCACACCTCTTTGCAATTTGAAACCCAAACAGAGGGACAAAGACATGAAAATGGTTGGATTTTACTCATCAGGTGGTGGCATACTGACCAGACTGCCCTTGCTAGGGCCCCACTCCCGAGGTCCCAGCATCCCAGCCCTCTGACGTCACTTTGGTTCCTGCCTCAGTCCCATCCAGATTCTCTAGCCTTCACTAGGTTCTGAGCTCTTGATATAAATCCACTAAAGTCCATTTGACTCACATTAACCCGAATCCATTTCTGTTGCTTGTATACTAAGAACCCAAACTGAAGCACAGAACTTTAGCAACAAATTGCATAATTAATTACTTAATCCAAATCCTGATAAGACAAACCCAGAGTGCTATAAAAAAAAAAAAAAAAAAAAAAAGCCCCAGATTTTAGAAATCTCTCTGCTCTGTAGTCCTCCGCGTCAGATTTTCTTCAGGCTGGTAGTAAAATATCTCAAATGACCCTAGGCATCGTATCTGGACAAAGCAATGTCCCGGGCAGAAAAGAGAGCTCATCTTCCTACTGGTTTCTCTTATGAAAGAGGAAACTTTTCCCCAAAGTCTCCACACTCTCACGTCTCATGGCCAGATTGGCTCACATGCCCATCCTAAGGCAATCACTGCAAACGGGACTAGAATTACTTTTAGACACTGAGGCCCCAGCTGGATCTTGGGGTGCTGTTACACTCAATCAATGAGCTAGGAAGAAGTCTATGGACAATGTGAAATCAGCTGTTCTCCGTGGAGAGTTAAGATGTCATAATACCAACCAAGGGTGCATCATGACTTCACTCTCACTGTCGACATTCTTCGGAGAGTTTCCATCTTTCACTAACAGGACATCCCCTAGCAAGACACCTTCACTACACAGTCAGGAGAGCCCAACTTGGAACTGTGTTATGTGCATCTCAGCAGCACAAATATGTTCATTTCTATTTATTCTACAATAGCTGCTATTTATTCAACAATATTTGTTCTTATAAAATGCTTATTGGTGAAAAACTGAAAGCTTTCCCCCTGAAATCATGAGCAAGACAAGCTCTCATCTCTTCTATTCAATATTGTGCTATAGGGTCCAGCCAGGAAAATTGTGCAAGAAAAAGAAATAAAAGGCCTCTAGATTGGAAAGAAAGAAAACTGTCTCCAAGAAAGGATGATTTGCATAATATTTCTCTCCTCTTTATAAATGTAAAAAATCGTTTACAAAAAATAAATAATAAAATGTATTTTTAAATGGGCAACAGACTCCAACACACATTTCACAGAATAATAATACAGAACATACCAAAAGTCCAACAAACACATGAAAAGGTGCT